TGTACACTTTTACAAAACCTATGTCAACAGGAGATTAATCTTTCCAGTGTAAACAGTATAATTTTATTTTTGATATGTCATCTGGAGCCCTGGCCACCACGGAGGTTTCTGTTCCCCCAGGCCTCATCATCAGGACCTGAAGCCCCACAGGCACTGCTCCCCTGCCGTTGTTGCTGGAGCAGAACAGGATCAAGTAGTGATTTATTGCTAACTCAAGCTGAAGGCAGGGTCTTTGCAGATTTATAGGGTAAGGAATTGGAGAGGAAGCAGAGAGAAAGCAGTTAGGGAATGGAGCTCTCTGCCCTTTGCAGCCCCTCTTCCCCCAGAAACCAGTTTGACACCTTAGAAAAGCTGCTATCAAATCTTTACTACATTGTAGGTTCAATAAGGGTTGATTTACATTGTTTACACCTAAAGTTAAAAAGGAAAAAAAGGGAAAAGAAACAAAAAGAACTGATTTAACATTCTTGAGGATTTTATTATGTGCTCAGTGAGCTAACTGTAAGATACTTTACTTATGGAGTGTACTAGCTACTCCTTACGCAGTACGATATAGTGTCAAGGAGATGTCTAATGATGCAGTGTACTCATGTTTATCATGTATTCCTTCTCTGCAGCTAAGCTCTGTGATAGATTGCAGGGTCAAAGATATATAATACGTGAGCTCTACTCTCAAGGAACTCACAGCCTGAGGAAAATCATACTAGGAATCAAGCAATTACAGTGCCCTATGATAAATATCATGGTGGAGACTGAAGGGACAAGAAAGGCTGAAGCTTGATCTGAGACTTCGATAGAAAGATGTACAGGAAATTTTATGATGGACAAGAATAAAGACATTTCCAGCAATGCAAGTTGAGTACATAAAGACGTGAAGGTGTTAAATAACATGGTGGTTTATGAGAAGTGAGTAGGAGGTGGTAAATATGGCACTGAATATAAGAGGATAGGCTTGGGATCATGTGGAGATTGCAATCCTTGCATCTGCTGCTGACAGTGACACTGACTTCATCTTTCTAAGTTTCTGTTTCTTCTGCAGTAAAATGAGAATTATATAATAATACCTCTGTCATACAGTTGTTAAGTTTCATATTATGTATGTAAAGTACTTAGCACAGTACCTGGCAGTGCTTAGCAAAGTATGACAATAAATAATAACTTAATAGTATTTCAGTATAATTAGATCAGAGAATACATAGAAATGAATGATGGAATATGAGTCTGCACTTATACATGACCAGGTCAAAAGTGGCCTTAAGCCATGCTAAAGAAAATCACTGCATTCTCAAATCATACTAAAATAGCTTTTATCCTTTTATCTTTTGCAATGGAATAGAATTGATTCTGAATATTTCCCCTGATATTTAAAAGCAGCAAATACCTCAAAGAAAGCAAGTCTCAAAGAGAAACCTGAAAAGGATGTCTTTTTTACAATGTTGTAAAGTGTATTTACACAAACGACTCAGGGAAACGTATTTGTAAAGAAAATCTGTACTGTAAAAAGACCTCAGGGTAAGTAAACAAGAAACTGGTAATACAAAAATTCCCCCCTTCACCATATGTTATTGTGTGCCTAACATAAAAATCAGTAAAAAACTAACACATGCAATTTTATAGACTTCATGTGATATGCTATTGATGCTACTTTTAAAATTCAGAGACATAGGGGCTGGCCTGGTGGCGTAGTGGTTAAGTGCGCATGTTCAGCTTCACTGGCCCAGGGTTCGTGGTTCAGATCCCGGGTGCAGACATGGCACCGCTTGGCACACCATGCTGTGGTAGGTGTCCCACATATAAAGTAGAGGAAGATGGGCACAGATGTTAGCTCAGGGCTAGGCTTCCTCAGCAAAAAAGAGGAGGACTGGCAGTAGTTAGCTCAGGGCTAATCTTCCTCAAAAAAAAGAAAGAAAAGAAATATAAAATTCAGAGACATATATGACCCAAAGTTTCACTTACTTAGACGTCATTCCCAGTATCATCAGGATAGGAAGTGCACTAGCCTCTGTCATTTGAATATGTGGCCCTCTCACTCATACTACATGTAGTTCACTTTAAAATTTCAAACACTGGACCTTTTGTTACACTTAGGGCTTCCGTTTCCTTCCACTTCCTGTTGCTTTTGTTTTATTTGTATTAAACCTATTCCCACCCCCCACATCAAGATGCATGAATATCGTCAATAAATGTAAATAAATTCTGCCCAAAAAAATCTTTTTTTTTTAACCAGAAATACGTGCGAGAATTGCCACCTGTTCAGAGATTCTGGAAGTGTACTACTATAAGAAATAAATGAATTTCACTCACGGTTTGCCCATTAAATGACTTTGACCAGCCATTTATCCTATATGGGTTTCATTTTCTACACCTAGAAAATAGATCAGTTAAATAGTTGTACTCTAAAATCCATCCCAGAACTAAGGATTTTTGGCTGCCATGATTTTATTCATAATAAGTCACATATGTTCTAGTGAAATATACAACATAATACCCTTGAAAAGCAACAAAATGGGTATACTTAAAACCATTGAAAAACCAACAAAAATATCAATATTCTTTGAAAGGGGTATATCAGTAATAAAGCCAAGGTAATAATAATGTCAAGGTTACTTACTTTAGAATTAATGGAATAAACAAAGCATTAGACAGAAATTTCTTTGTGGGACACATCATGATAGTTTCATTTTGATTACTCTGAATGATATTAAAAGGCTAAACAAGTTCTTGATTATTAGGAGGCTTCGAAATCCTTCCTTTTCAAAAGAAGGAAGGAGGTTAAGTGATATAGTAACTCTGGGATGAACATTAATGGTTTTTCAGCCACCCATTATATGTCGCCGATCTTTAGTAACCATATTATGATTTTTCTCTGGGAAATCCTGCTCCCCTACTCTCAAACCAAATATTTCTCAAAGGAGTAAACACTACTCCTCAGTCCTAAACACCATCATATTTCACAGGTCCTTGGGATTAATTACAGTGGGTATCTGACCTAAGCAATCAAATCAGAGTAAGTCTCAGGGCTTTTATTGAAGTAATGGAAAAAAATAACGTATCTTGTTCATAGGACAGGGGCACTGAATAACAGGGAGCAGAAGCTGCCAGAGGCCACCAGCTATGTCTGAGATAGTAAAGTACCACTGAAAGAAATAAGTTAGGCTTTCCTTTCACCTCTTTACAAAGTGATGACACAATTAGAATCCAGAAATGCTAAGTCAATTTTATGCCAAAAAACTCCCCGATTCAATTCTGTAAGAAAAATGAAAAATATATGGTAAACATAATTTAGTTACCCTTACATTCTATTTATTTTAAATTTTCGGATATATGCAGTCTTCTGAAAATGGATATTACTTCTCATGTTAAAAATAAGCATAGAGGCTGGCCCGGTAGCGTAGTGGTTAAGTTCATGTGCTCTGCTTCAGCAGCATGCTGTGGCGGCATCCCACATAAAAAATAGAGGAAGATTGGGACAGATGTTAGCTCAGTGGCAAACTTCCTCAAGCAAAAAGAGTAAGATTGGTAACAGACGTTAGCTCAGGGCCAATCTTCCTCACACACAAAAAATAGTAATAGTAATAATTATAATTTTTCTGCATCAATACAGTCAGGTTAACACTTTGCATTTTATACAGAGCAATTTTACATTTTAAAACCCTTGTGATCCTTGGACTTCCAGACTCCTTGGTGTGAGTTTGCAGGTCATATATTATGGATGCCACATGTAATCATGACATCTTTTTTAGTTTTACTTAATGGTATAGTTATATCTGTATTTATTTCCAAGAATAGAGGTTAATAGCATATTTAGCTATATAATTCACTATGCAATGATAGTATTTTGCCCAATTATGAAATAACAACTCCAAAGTTTTTATCTTAATTTTGAACCAATGTAATAAAGATTCAGGAGAAAGTGCAGCCAGATAACAATCAAATACTTCATTAATTTATGCAAAACTACAATAGAATTGATGTTACCATAAACAGCATTTATCTTGACTTTTAACCAACTTTTCTATAACTAGCAGATAATTTTAACTAAATAATTAGACTTTCCTTCAATATCAATGTGTTATCATGTATGATGTCAGGTCATACATGACAAAAAGTCTAGATAGTAACATTTCTATGGATTATAAAGATAAAATTCTCTGTACTCCTGTGCAGCTAAAACCAAAACAATCATCCAACAGACTTAACAAGGATGGTAAATCAATGTCAAAAATCCAATTGTGATTGGATTAGTCATTTGTGGTAGTAGTGCTATTTCTTCAGAATATCTTTATAAAAGAGAAATCAAAAGGATTTTTATTGAAAAATATTATTCAATAAGATTTTTTTAATGAATTAATGACCGTATTTGACTAGAAAATGTTTTACTTACAAATGAACAATGAGAATCCCGATGATCTAATATATATAATAGAATTATGAGAATTTAGCTAATTATCATAATATAAAAATTTGTCCAAGTTCTATCCAGCGCTGGTATTTATTATTCTAATCCACTTTTAATTAATTCCCTGGGGCTGAAGAATTTTTTTAAAATAATGCCTTATCAACTGCATAAACATTTCCTAAACATGGTGGTCAGAAATTCTATTTGCAGACTCCATTCACCATTCTAATTAGTTTGCTTTTAAAGGAAAAAAATGCCAGGTCTTGCATGCCCTGAATAAAATAAAATAAAATAAAAAAGTATACTTCTTTTAAGACTGACTCTCCTCCTAACCATTTAACTATCTAATTAAAACCCTCTGTATGAAGGAAATAGGCATTAGGAATTAGTGAGGGTTCTTCATAGCAAAGGTTGAAATTATGAAAGATAGAGGCACACCAAGTCTTGGACCTAAGATTGCACTATATTCTAGAAGTATCAGTTTGGAGATCCTCCTTTGGTAATTGTGTCACACCAGCAGAAGTGGCAATTGGTAAAATTATTCATTTTGAGGTGACTTCTAAGTAGCTGAGAGTGCTGGGTTTTATTTGTTTTTTTCTAGGTATGCCAAGATCATCTTATCCTTTAACAAAACAGAAAATTTTCAAGAAGGGGGCAATCATCAAGACTGTCAAGTATTTCTAGACACTAAACCAAGATAAGAACTAAGAAGTGCTCATTTGATTTAGTGATACAGAAATTGCAGATTTCCTTGGCAACAACAATTTCAATGGAATTGTTAGCAGGAAGAAGCCAGACTGCAATGGATTGAGAGGTGAGTGGGAGGTAAGAAAGAATTCATGATGAGTGTAGAAAACTCTTTCAAAGTATTTTGTTATGAATCAGGGTGAAAAAGATAGTTAGAGAGGATTGAGGGACTAAAAAAGAGTTCTTTCATTATTTTTTAAATGAGAGCATGTTAAAATGCTAATGGAATAAAAGCAGAAAAAAATAAATTGAACTATAAGAGAGAAATCAATGTAGCAACTTCACTGAAAAGAAATGGATGAGTCTTAGGTAAGAAAAATGGTATCACTTCCCAGTTTAACAAACACAAGTGTTTACGTGGGCATGTTTACTAAGTCATTGGCAGGATCTTGAGAGACTTTCCTTCTATCAGCATTCACTCTGAAGTAGCAGAGAAGTTATCTATCGAAGATGAAGTAGCAAATGGCAAGTTAGGAAGGTGGCAATATTAAAAGATCAAAAAAATAAATTTTACAAAAGTAAAGAACTAGGGGGAAAAACTGACTTTATTTTTTAAGGTGGGAATCCTGGGCAGTGTTGCTGACAAAGCTAATATTAAAACCTCAATAAAAAAAAAATTAAACCTTAATCTAATTAAACCTCCGGATCTAACTATTATCTCACAGGAAACAGGGAGCAGTTAAATAATATCATAAAAATGTAATTGGCCTAGTTTCATGGTACATATATGTGATCCAGTTGCTTCAACAAATAAATGGTATTTTAAAAGAGTAAGGGAACACTGTATTTTTAGTACGATTAGAAAAAATTGAGCTTTAACTGGATATTAGATCATTAAGTATTGCTGTTATTTTGTTAGAAGTGGTATTAGTATTGTAGTTATTTTTACATGCCTTTATCTGAGAGATACATGTTGAAGTATTTATGATCAAAAAGATACGACGTCTGAAATTTGTTTTGAAACATGTCTAAAAAAAAAGCAGAATTAGAAGCAGCAAGAACGGCAACATGCTGATAGTAGATGTTGATAAAGAATGTGGAGACAATAATCTTAGGCATGTCTTTGATGAGCTTTTGTTGTGAAGAGGAGTAATGGTGAGGCAGTTGAAAAGACGTAGGACAGAGGGGGTTTATTTGTTTTAAGTAGTACTAAAGCATGTTTGCGAGCAGATGGAAATAATCCAGTGGAAAGGGAAAAACTGATGATAGATGGGAGAAAGTAATGATAGGCACAAATTGCTGAGGTGAGAGGGGATGACATTCAGAACTCAAGCAGAAAAGTTAAATTTCATCTTACACAAAAGCAGGGCGACTTGGTCCACAGTAGTAGAGAAGGTACGGTGCCTGTGTGCAGATGGAGGCAAGCTCTTATTAGTGGGAGGAATTCAGAATTTCTGAATGACTACTTCTCATTTCACAAATCAAATATAAGTAATAATACAATATGAAGTAAGATTATATAATCAAGAACTATATTAAGAATTAAGTATATTAATTATATTAAGTAAGAAGATATGATATTAGGTAAGATAATCAGTGAGATTACAGAAACAATGAGGGACTGAAAGAAGTTTGAAAAGAAAAGAGAAATATGAAATAATCCTTGAAACCCAGAAAGTGCTTCTCAATTAGATCTTTTTTCTAACAAGCCTCAATACAAGCATCTGTTTACATATGTGAAGGCTGTGATGTGATCATGAAATGAATAAATACGTTGTTTTTCAGATTATTTTCCTATGAAATCGCTTTATGTTGACTTTTCATAGAATCTGGATGGTGAACAATTCTTAGATGTTAGACTCTGATAAAGCTACTTGCACATAATGAAATGAAGAAAAAAAGATATTTGGGGCACTCATGCCATGGTGTTCTTGTGCCTCTCATTTCAGTCTTCAAAACTGGATCAACTGTTCAGACAGTGTGATTCCACATGGGTTTATATAGAAAACACTACTGTAGATTTAATGTCTTTCTTTACTTTCTTTGAAGATGTATCCTTTTATAATCACTGCAAAAGAAAGAGAAGAGAAGGATTAAAGAGAATACATGCACGGCACAAGGAAACTTCGTTAGCAGATCTGAAACTAGGCTGTGCTCACTATGTGCCACACAGCACCTATGACGTGAAAGAGCAGTAGATCAACACAACGTCCTGGTGGAAGTGGGAGTTTGAAGGCCAATTAGACAGAACGATTTTTTTTCTAATGTGTCAAAATAATGCAAGTGGCTGTGCTAAATAAATTCATGCTGGAGTACTGCTGTGAAAATTGAATGATTAATAACCCTCAGTATTATTCCTGCTTAGTTTAAGGCACAGCAGACTACTGATTAGATATCGTGCAATAATATGTTTCTATACAGATGTTACAAATTCCATGTTAATTGTCTACTTTCTGTGTGTCATATACTCTCCCATCATGCTTTTGTCCATTCTGCAATTTAACATGAAACCTCAGGCCCTAGACTTGAAAGAAAGTAAGCTTTGAAACTATAACCTAAAACACTTTTCCTGTGTGGAAGTGGTTATGGAAAATTCAGCATGCCTGAATTTGCAAATGCTTACAAAATTTGGGCCAAAATAATGTAGGAATATGTATTTGTTTGTATGTGTAATGCTTGCTCCATAGTGACATTATATAAAAAGGAATTTTAAGGAGAAAAATACTTTACGCACATCAAAAAGGTAGTGCTTTGTTATGGCTATTTGTGAGTTGAAGTTTCTATAAAAAAATTGTGTTATTTGAGTTTTTAAATTTTACGAGTTTCATTATCATATTAACTCCTTCCCTTTTGAGGATTCAATGAAATTGTGAAGGAAAAAAGATAAATATTAACCCTTGAGGTACCTCAAAAATTACCTTCCTCACCTGGACACATTTTGTTTTGTTTGAGAAGGTTTTCTCAATATGGCATATAACTTTTTAAAATTATGGTAAAATTTTCATACAATACCATATGTAATGTTTCTTAAATTGAATGTGCATATATAATTCAATGTTATTTTCATCATCCACTTCTTGAAAGAAAATGATGTGAAATAAGACTGCAAACAAAACCAGATATGATCTTGCTAATCTCCCTTACAGGAGCAGTTTGCAGTGAATAAGCCAGCACATAGATTAATAGTCTCATTTCAAAGTTGTTACATGGAAAATTGGAGTTTGGACATGCCAAATAAATATTAAAAAGCAAACTGAGGATAACAAATGGCATTTTATTCAGCTTTTTTTTTTTAAGATTGGCACCTGTTACCAATCTTTTTTTCTTCTTCTACTCCTCCCCCCCCCTTCTTCTCCTTCTCCCCAAAGCTCCCCAGTACATAGTTGTATATTTTAGTTGCAGGTCCTTCTAGTTGTGCATCATCATGGCTCGACAAGCAGTGCTAGGTCCACGCCATGAAACCCCAGGCCGCCAAAGCGTAGCAGGCCACCTTAACCACTCAGCCATGGACCTGGCCCCTTATTTGGCATTTTTAATGAAATGATGTATTCAACTATAGGTAAAGTGATGTATTCACTTAGGCTCTTTGAGTTAGAAGGATTAAAAAGCCCCTAAAGCCAAATCAAGTTCAATCAGAGCACTGCTAGATAGGGCTGCATTTCATTTTCATTTCATTACTGCTGATATAAGATATCCTTCTTTCTTTCATAATTTTAGAATACAAAATCATTACACTGCGTACTAAAAAGGTATACAAAAAACCCAAACATTTCAAGATCTCCTACGGCATATCCTTTTTATTTGGAAATTCTCATATAAGCTGGATCCTTCAGTAAGAGAAACCAATTTAGAACTCTGTTCCTGTGAAAATATACAGCCAATAGGGACAAATTTTGTAATTTATCAAAATTTGGAAATCAACTAAACAACTGCTTAAATCTTTCATTTTTTGGTTTTAGTTCTATTTTCCCTAAGATTTGATTATGGAATAGTGTTTCAGAAAATGATGGCTTTTATCACAGTCATAGCAAGAAAAATGGCATACAAGAGGCAATTCAATAACAATATGGTAAATGTAGAATAGACTTATATAAGCTATGCTATCTTAGTAATTTAGTCCTTTTAACAATTAATGCAAATCCATCTATTTCATTAAGTAGTATTGATTAGTATCGAGCAAAATTTCAGAAAAAAATACATGTTTATTTCTAGTCCAGTTTGATTGCCACATATATTTTGTGTTAATTTAACTACCTTGGGTATTTTTCAAGAAGCTAAAAATAGGGCATTTTTCTGAGTAATGAAATGAGGAATTCTTTTTCTCATTGTTAGATAATTTATTATGTAAGAATTTCTCAAATTATCTTAAAATTCACTGTAGCTTTACAATCAGAATTTACTTTCTTAAATTCTATTTAGTTTGGTTTCTGAAATAATTAAAAGTATCTTAACATATAATTTTTCTTATAGGGTATACTCAAGATGGGGACAATATTAAAATAAGATTTAAGTGCATATTGAAGTTTTTTGGAGGTGGGAGAAATTTTTAGAGTTGTAGTAACAGTAGTAATGTAATACATTCATGTCATTATAGTAGGAGATTGACAATCCTAATGACCTTCCATGTAATTCTACTTTTAATTCAAAAGCATCAAAACTTACCAATATTACAGAATAATCATTAAGCTCAAATTGGGAAATAAATTTTTTGGCCAATAAAGGGACAATAAAACCACTAAATATTAGACATTAAAAGGATGTTAGGAATTGTTTCCACTTGATCAAAGATAAAATACTAATTTTGATTTGGTATCCATTTAGAGACAGAGACATGGTCTGAGACACAGACCATCTGACTGTCTCAATGAAAGCCACTGCAAGTATGCAAGAAGAGGCTCTTACGTCAGAGAGCTCCCGACTCTGTTTTAAGAGCTTTCCCCTAAGTCCAGCCTGCTCAAAATAATCTCCTTTTTGATTAATTCAAAACCAATTGATTTAGGACCTTAACCATATCTGCAAAATTCCTTCAGATTTGCCACATACTATTGGTTAGTAGCAAGTTACAGGTCCCACCTACACTCAAGGGAAGGGGATTATACAGAGTGTGAACACCAGGGGCAAGAATCATGAGGCCACACTCAGATCTGTCCAGCACATCAAGTCATTTAGTTTCTTCAAAATTATCATTTTGAAGGCAATCATTTGTATAATTTTGAATGTTTTCCATTGTCATAACAAAAATCTATTAATTTATAATATGAACAGATAGGTTTAGGGGAAGCTCAAGGAAAGAAAGGCAATTATTAAACGTTGAAGGAATGATAGAATTTTAAGACTCACCCTTTTCCAACAACCATTTTAATAACTGAAACAAGAAAGGATTCTCAATGGATTCTTAAACCATTTTATGAAAAGTTTTGGAGAAGAAGGTAGTCAGAATTGACAAGGTATTACTTCAGAGATTATTGACTAATTACAAAGTAAAATGACAAGTTTTCAGTGAAAAACTTTGGTAGATATTAACCTTCACCACTTATCAAATTTAATAAAACTAGTAATGATGGAACTGATATCATGTGCCTCCTGGTCATGTGCCTTGCTAAAGACACAATGTCACCTATTTATCATGTTGAATCTTATGAAGTTTCATTTTTGGTCAAAAATCATCAAATAGCAATTTATATGGTCCAGCTTAGTTTTTTGGGGGGTCCTTCTGCAAAACAACTGACCTGGACTCTTCCAAAATGTTGATATTATGAAAGACCAAAAAAATTGGAAAATTATTATTAATTATGAACTCGGTGACATAACAACTCATTGACATGTTAAATCCTAATTGGATTCTGGATTTTTAGAAAATCTGATTGGGAAACTGGGGAATTTGAAGATTGAATATATATTAAGTGAGCAGATTGCATCAAAGTTAAATTTATTGAATCAAGTAATTGTACTGTGGTAATGAAAGAGAACAGCCTAAGTCTTAGGAGACATTTGCCAAAGTAGAGAGAGATGATATGTAATGTCATGATGTCTGAAAATTAGTATCTTTCTCTACATAAATGTGTGTGTGTGTGTGTCTGAGTCTGTGTGTGTGGAGAGAGAGAGAGAAAGAGAGACTAAGATTGCTCTATCATAAAACACCGAACATGTGCCATTGACTTTGGAATTCAGTGGTAGGAGTCCAAAGATCCTTGAGAAGACTGTTAGTAAGGGTTTGAAAATATTAGTGTAAGATAGACAGAAGGGATCCTTGCCATAGAGTAGAGGAAAGTGGTAATAATGGCACCTGCAATAAAAAGAGAAAAGAAAGTGTACCTAATGAGTTTGTCAATCTGGCTGGGAAAATTTCCAGGAAGAATTTAGAAAGTGGCAACTGGCTTCTTCTAGCTGCCTATTATAGCTTGAATTGTGTTCCCCAAAAAGATATTTTAGAGTACTAACTCCTAGTAACTGTGAATTTGACCTTACTTGGAAATAGGGTGTTTGCAAATGTAATCAAATTAAGATGAGGTTATTAGGTTGAGACCTAATCCGATGCGACTGGTGTCCTTATAAGAAGAAGAGAAGTGACATAAACACACAGAGACACAGAGAAAGTGCCATGTTGCTGTAGAGGCAGAAACTGGGGTGATCCATGGAACACCAAGGATTGCTGGCAATACTAGTAGCTAAGAGAAAGGAATAGAATAGATTCTCCCCTAGAAACTTCAGTGACAGCATGTCCCTGCTGACTCTTGATTTTGGACTTCCAGCCTCCAGAACTGTGAGAGAATAAATTTCTGTTGCTTTAAGGCACCCAGTTGGTGGCAATTTGTTATAGTAGCCCTAGGAAACTATTAATATACTATCTATGATAAAATATAAGAAGAAAGAATCTAACAAAGAATCCATTGGGTTTTTGAGGATTTACAAAATAATATAAAGGATCTAGGACTTTCTTGGATTTAAAAATAAAACTGTTTCATATCCTTAGCCTGTCCCAGCAAAAATTCAAAAAATGAGTGATGACTTTGGGGCAAAGAATAACCCAGGGGACCCTTGTAGGACCTTTTGTTTCTGTAAGACGGAAAAATTTAAGTGACTCAGTTAAGCAAAAAACTTTCTAAGAATCTGAAGAAGTTGCCTTGTAGTAGCTTTCTATTAAACAATAGACTTCTAGGAAACTTAAGGGCTCTATCCCACAGAAGCTACACACTGGGCGCAAAAGAAAGAAGGGCATTTCTGAAGAGATCTATAAGTATGACTTTTAGATAATGGAATGAATCCCATTATGATTCATAGAAAAGTATGAGGCAGAGACAATACAAT